CGGTTAGTTATGCTTATGGATTTGCTACATCTAGGTAGGTCATACTTTACAATAATACTTACTTCAGTTTATTATTACCGAGGTTTGCTACCCAACTCCAGGTTACTCTCTCGCTGTTTATTCTATATGTATAAATCTAAGTCCTTTAATTCTTCCTCATTACTGTTCATCTTAAGAATGACGGCCTAATCTCATCTCATACTTTGGAACATTCATCCATCTATTGTTGATTCACCTTAATGTTGATCTATAATCTACCACTGATAACTTGAAACCTCTTACATAATACATTGTCACTAAGGCTCACGTCTCATAGGGGAATATCTGAAGTTATTTGCCTGATCCACCTAGGGACGATACTATACTTCAATAACCATATTTCATTGCATCCTAACGTGATTCATCTTATGGGGGTATTCTAATCTCATGTAATTCATGAAATCCCTTCTCTTTGAATAATTGCTCAATCAAAAGCCTAAATGTCATCCTCTTACCATTTATCACAATTACACCCTATTCTACTACCACGGCAACATTCCCTCTTTTCCAAATGCTCCTAGTCTTAAACTCCTCCAAGTTTATTCAGATTATACAAGGGTTTCTATAACTTACAGGAACCATCACCTCTCTTGTTTTGATGTGTTTATTCCCGAGGACTTACCTATTCCCGTCACCTTCTCACTTACCTTTTCTTATCCTTACTCCCGTCTACCTAAAACCTTGTCGCTCTACCATATTTTAGCTTGCGACCTACACATATCTGTTTATACTACTCGCAAACTTCCTTTAACTTGATAGCACCACAAATTTTCTTATGTTATTATGGGGCTCAAGCGAGATATCACACCATCTCTAGCTCTTCTTTACTCTCTTAACTAGCTTCGGTACCTGGAAACCATAGGCTAGAAGATATGCCGCTGACGATACAACTATCATTTATGGATACTGAATCACAACGCTTCTAACCCTCTATTTGAAGTTTGGACTATTCACAACCTTCTGCACTTGAGTATCTCTACCTTCTTTACCTTTCTTATCTTTAAATCTTGCATTGTATCTTCTGTCGCTTTCATAACCTTCCTTCCACATAGGTGGAATTCACGTCCACACCTTAAAGCCAACTATAGTACTTGCACCTCTGATGCATACACATTCCGGCGGGAGCTTCATAGTAACTTCTTATGAGGCTGGTATCTTCTAACTTGCTTTATTGTAAAGCCGTTATAGAATATGGCCGTTGTACTATCTCTTTTGTACCTCTAATATTTAGAGTGATTCTACAATGTTCTGAATCACGATTTCTATACTCATCGGGGTCTAATATTCAGACTCCTAATTCACTTAGCTAATGTAGCTCTTTAGTTTCCTCTTCTATCTCAGGCTTTAAGTAGACTTACTTTATCTTCTGATCTACGGCTCAGGGTAATAGTTATTACTTTAGCCCCTTGTGGACGCTATGGAACATCTATGATATAATCTTCTAGCAATTCAAGCTTTTGCCTATGACGTGGACTCAATTCTTTCTTTTAACTTATACTGGAGTCTCCTATAGCTGTATCATTGTCAACATATATGTTGTATGGATAACACTTCAAAATCTTAAGTGCGTTCATAATGTAACTAACTCTGGGTCATTGATCGAATAATTCCTTTCGTGCCTTCTCAGCTTTCTTTAAAAGTAAGCAACTACTTTTCCCGGTCGTTTTGCCACTTGTTGCATGAATACTTGGCTTATCTTGGTGCCGACACTTAATGGAATTTCATGCAACTCATATGATCTCGAATATTACTTTTGATTTTACTTCCTGTTCCTTAGTCACGACAAGTGCCACTTTGTTATAGAGTGCATACAATATTGTAGTGAGAATGTTGTTACAAGATCATTTCTTCTTTAGGTCACTATACTTATGTTGAAGCCTTCTTCCTTATTTCCTTAGCTAGTCTTTCGTTGTAGCTTTTAGGGAAGACCCTCTGGCTCTTGTAAAGTTGCGAGCTTATTACATTGTATACCCCACGAAATTTCTGATGTTCTTACTCGCCTATCATTATCCTTAGTTACTTACCTCCACGCCCTTGTGCTCGTAGGGTTGATTCTGAATTGAAATTTCAATTGTCTCCCTAGTGGAACTCTCTTTTATTTCCGTAACACTTATACGACAACTATAACTACTTCAACTCCTATCTGAATATTTCTCAAGGATTATGATGTCGTATCTGCGAGACTAAATATGCTGGGGTTCACTAGGTTTATATTGCATGATCTACTGATTTATCTGTATCCTCTTGTGTAGCCATAAATAGGCTCTTCCAGAATCAACTACTAACTACTCGTTGGTCCATTCTCATATCTATATTCCGCGTAATCTCTCTTGGGTTGTTTCCTTTGTCTTAACTTACCTCTCGTACTGGCTCCTTATGTATCAAGTGTTTATTCCCACTTAGTTATCAATCCTGGGAGGGTACCCTTAGCTTACCTCTCGCATTGGCTCTGTATCTTGTGCCACAACAGACAACAAGCAGCCTCCAAACTTGCCACTCAAAAATGTCCCATCAACATCAGTAATCTTTCTCATATGCGCGAATCTCTTAATGAAAGCTCCAACAGATAAAAAAAAAATATCAAAAATGCAATTTATCATCAACCTTCAAATTAACAATACTTCCTTCATTATAGGAAAACATAACATGGCGATACGCTTCTAAAAAAACATACCCCTCTTCCTGAGTACCCCTAATCATAGCCTTAGCTATTTCACCTACCTTCAAGCTCTTCCACTAAGTAAGATTTCGATTAAAATCTGCAAAAATAGCATCCTTCAAATCTAACGGGGATGGGCCTTTTCCATTAACATACCGTTCCCGGTAATATGCACCCAAAGTCTTCGACGACGCGTTAGGATGGCGACTTGATATGTGCTGGACCCCGCATGTGTGCTCGCCATGTACTTGGTAATATAAAGCCTATCAGAACTCTCATACTTTAAAGCACGTAACTTCCACGGGCAACTCACATCTCGACATGCCACTTAAGTTAATTTACTGCTACTCTTCCTCATACGAAACGTAAAATGCATTTTCACAGAAGCAATCTCCAACTATTTCATTAGATCCAATTTGTTGTCAAAATATTTCCCAAGGAAAAAACCTGTACCATCAGAGTGGCTGTGTTGTGTAGCTAACGAGTCCATTAAGCCTTCATCTCCAGCTGCCCGACTGAATATATCTGGGAGCTCTTTCGCTCCATCTGTATCTTCTGGACCGTACGATTTTATTTCATTGTCACCAAAATCATGCAAGTCTTCACTAAATCCACTGAAGCCATCTTTCACCATTCTTTCCTCCTCTACTTTTAAAATTGATGGCTGTGTTGGTGATGGTGGTGTAGCTGCGGCATTTGAACCTTGATGAGACCTTTCAACAGGAACTTCAGCCCCTTCTTCAAAGTCATTTTCAGCTACAAATATCTTCAAACAAGGCCTCATACCATCAATTGTAACATCAAGAAGGTACGATTGCAAATCATTGTCATTCTTAATGAAGGAAGGAGGAATCTTGTCCCTCTTTGGTGTAGAGCTAAGCATATATGTAATATTCAAATTCCTCGGGGAACATGTTAGTTTTTCACGTTTAATGATGACATCAACAAATTCGTCAAATGTATAATTGCTAGGTATAATTATAGGTACTGTAACCTTTGTATAGGAATTCTAATTCCAACTAGTTGACCCCTCAACTCATTCACCAAAATATAGACCGCATACTAATATATAATCTCCCATCAGTCTATTGTGAACCAGTGGTCTATTCTAACAGTGGTCTATTATACACTAGTGGTCGAACTGTGCAGAAACTTTTTGCAGAAACCCAAATTAACAATGACGAAAAAGATGAGATGAGAACACTTACCAGATGAAGGAGGTACACAATATACCACCTGGAACGAATTATCAATCCAATGTACCACCAATTTCTTCCCCAAATTTGATGGATCCGAAAAATCCCCAATTTTTCGATTTCTTCTAAGTAAATGATAAATCAAAATAATGAAGCATTGAGAGGAATGAGGAAGAAGGGAGACGACCTCTGTGTGTTGAATGCAAGAAAAACAAGGTGCAATGGAGGAATCAGCCGTGGGAAATAGGGATTGGGGCGGCAGATGAGGCGGGAAAGGATGGTTTTTTTTTTTTTTTTTTAAAATCTGGTAATATTACAATTATATAGGTTGGAGCCAAAGTATAATTACTGAAACTTTAGGGATAAAGACTGAACTTCCCCCTTCACTTTATAATTTCACTTAACCATTAATTAAACATGAAGGTCAATCCTACAATAATTAAAACCTGAAGATCACTTGGCCAATTCAAGTTTGAAAAGAGGCCACCTCGCCAACTACCCCTTGTCTCAAGTTAGAGGTATACTTTCTTGAAAATATTTTTGAAAAGCAAAAAAAGCCGCAAAGTGTATTGTGCTTAGGATTTTAACCTTGTGATCATGGGTAGCATTGGACAAGATTAGATGTAGTTTTTGTTATTGTTTTTTGTTTTTCCCGAATAAAAATTTTCTGGACATCAGCTCAAAGCTGGTTTTAAAAGTCAAAAGACTGGTTGAAAAGGAAAAAAGAAAAGGTCAAACATATATATATATATATCAGACTATTATTTATTCTAAATAGTCATTTGCAACTTACATGATTATATTTTTTATATCCGTGACTAGTTGCACTAAAAATATTCTTAATACTTGCAGTCTTGCACAATGATATTTTTCTAACTAGTCAACCATTATCATTATAGTACAACTTTGTTAACAAATCATTTCGTTCAAAATACACACACATGATTATTTTTATTATATACAATATACGTCAGTATTATACAAGTTAGCAACTTTTCGTGACTAATTTTTAAGACATTTAAAAAAACGTCAAACTATAGAATTATACTAATGTATAATACTTCTAATATAATTTTAAATATGATTATTTTATTCAGAAAAATCAACTTTTGAATTCATTTTTAGATGCAAAGAAAAAGGCAACATTGAAAAGTTTCCAACTCCCAACGGCAAAAGTCAGTCTCTGGCCCCAAACTTTCCAATTTTCCAGACACCTGTGGTTGTTTTCATGTGAAAAAACGGAAAACAAATTCTCTTCTAAACAATGAGAGGAGGACACGTGTGCATCGTCGTCAGTTTCCTCCTCCTCCTAGCTTCCGTTAGCGGGGAGTTCGCTGGCGATTACTCGAAGCTGTCGGGAATTATCATCCCGGGGTTCGCGTCCACCCAACTGAGAGCATGGTCAATATTGGACTGCCCTTATTCTCCTCTCGATTTCAATCCTCTCGATTTAGTCTGGCTTGACACCACCAAAGTAAGTAATCAAAAGTTCTAGACATTGTGTTGCTTTAATTGGTTGTGTGGAGATAATGATATTGTTCACTGTTAATTTATGCAAGCTTAGTATTTGAGTTTCACTTTGTAAAAAGTTTATAAGTACTCCGTACAATCGGAAGTTTCATGCATTAAGTAAAAGGATTTAAGTTTTACACACTGTGAGTGTTAAAAATTTCATACGATCAGTGTGATTTTACCTGCTGTTATAGGAGGTTACTTACCATTTGTTGTAGGTTATCAATCAATGCTTAGGTAATAACTTTACCTGCAATTACCTTTTTATGTGACCTGATAATTGTTATACTATTGGTGCATAGAACTTAAACTCAATAAAAATATTGATCAATGCACATTTAGTTAAGAACATAACACTATAGAAGCAAATAATTCTTAAAGGTAATACCAATTAAATTGGGATTGATATTTAGGGTGTGTTTGGTATGAAGGAAAATGTTTCCTGAAAAAAAAGGAGTGGGTTTCTTTCTTATTTTTGGTTTTTGGTTAGTAAGCAGAAAATATTGTCCCTAAAGTGTTTATATATAATCTAGCCAAACACTATTTTGGGGGGGGGGGGGGTGGGGGGGGTATGGGTAGAAGAAAATAAGCA